AAAGTCTTCACTAGGGGAAAGGGAGAGATGAGAGGCAGAGAAGAGAGCAAAGACACAGAAAGGAAGGAGAAAGGTACTATGTTTCAGAAGCCAGACAGCAGTGCAGCTATGGGGTATCTTTCAGGAAGAGGGTGTTTAACAGCTTCATACGTCTTAGATAACAAGAGCAGGAAAAAAAGGGTTAAAGTGTGACAGCAAGAAGGTCACCAGTGACCTCAAAGAAGGCTCAATGGTGTGGAGGTGGCAGGTTGCAAAGAATTAAAGAATGAGTGAGTGGGAGAAACTGAAGGCTTTCAAGGCATTAGGCAGAGAGTGGGCAGAGAGAGGAGAGAGGGGCTCCAAGGGGAGCAGCAAGTGAGGAGGGGATCCTTTTTTTTTTTTTTTTCATACAATGACTTAAGTCCCATCATGTCACTGCCCTGTTTTAAATCCTTCAATTTCCCCTTTTATATTATAAGGCCCAAAATAATATGGCTCACAAGGCCCTGCCTAATCAGGTTCTGTCTGCCTCAGCAGCCTGAATCTTTATCCTCTGTTCCAGCTGCAGTGTTGGTACCCCAGGTCCTTTGCACATGCTGTTTCCTTTGGGAAAAAACCCTCCCCTTCCTCTTAGCCTGGCTAACTCTTTTACCCTTCAGATTTCAATCTTTCAAAAAATATATACCAGAGACACCCCTCCGCTTTGTACTGCTTTCAACCTCTATAGAAAACTAAGACATCTCTCCTGGTACTTAGCATAATTATAACAAATAGCTGTATAATTGTTGAATTATTGTGTTTTCCACTAACAAGGAAGCTTCCTGAGGGCAGGAATCAGGTCTTCCTCTCACATAATACATGATTTACAGGTAATTATTAAATAAAGGAATAAACATGAAAACCTAAAAGCATTTTTAATCTCAGCCAGTTTGTGCATCTCTAGTGGCCAACTTCCTAAATCCACATCAAGTGGGCTTACAACTTACATTCCGGCCAGTTGGTTTTCTCTGACCTCCCCCTCCCACTTCTAACCAACTTGAGTGAATGGTCCTTCTAACCAAGTAAAATGATGGGATTCTTTGGGGATACCGCCATATATCAAATGATTTTTCCAATTACACAACTAATACATGGTTATTAGGAGACCTACCTAGTTTTACAGAATGGCTTTAACTGAAAAAAACAAAAAACAAACAAACAAAAAAAAGCCAGAATATTAAATTTAGGCATTATGCATCTAACTTCTTAGATATTAGATGAATTAGCCCTAAAATGAGTTTGCAGGTATACAGTAAAAGATCCATTGCATCTCTTTATTATATAAATCACATCTGTCTGTCTCCCTGTGTGAGATCTTGTTTAATAACAGAATTTTTTACTGGGAAAACATACATTTGACAGATTGTTTTCTCCTTATTTTTTTACTTTGCTTTTTCTCTCACCATAAATAAAAGATTTTAAATTCCACTAATTGAAAAAAAATGCTATGAATTACAGCCTTCCTACAGCTTGAGCAAATTAACAGTGCAAATAAGTCTGCAGACATAATTGTGCTTAATTGAATGAACTGTTGTCAGTTCTAATAGCTGGAGGCCCTTTAAATCACTATTAAAAACAACAGCTGCATTAATTACAAATTGTTCTTAACTATTTCTACCTCATATATACATTCAAACTTGTCGGAATTACCCAATACACCTGAAAATGATAAACCTAAATTTATTTTTTAAATACCTACAGGTCAACCTATTCATCATTTGAGCTAGACTTCTCTTCCACAAATACAAAGTAGGGAGTTTTATTGTCTTTATCCTCCTCAAATGGGAAGATACAGCTAATTTCTTTGCCATCCAAGAACATGGAATGAAAAGATCAAGCTCTACTCCAACTATGTGGCAACTGTTCTTGAGAATACAAATACAACACTGAGAAGGAACTAAATGCCTATTTAAAATATGATTAGGAGAAGGGCGCCTGGGTGGCTCAGTGGGTTAAGCCTCTGCCTTCGGCTCAAGTCATGATCCCAGGGTCCTGGAATGGAGCCCCGCATCAGGCTCTCTGCTCAGCAGGGAGCCTGCTTCCCTTCCTCTCTCTCTCTCTCTGCCTCTCTGCCTACTTGTGATCTCTGTCTGTCAAATAAATAAATAAAATCTTTTAAAAAAATAAATAAAATAAAGTATGATTAGGAGGAAGGGCCAACTTTTTGTACCATTTATATTTTGGGTAAACTTCGCTTTTGGAAAGCACATATATGGAAATAGAAACTGATAAAACAGCATTCAGGAGAAACTGAATATATATTTCAGAGTTCCTTCAAACTCTTCTAATTGCTTAAACAGCAAAACTCCCTAACACATCATCTGACTTACAAGATTTTTAGTGTCACACAACTCTGAAGACACCATTTTAAAATGGGTATGCCTGTGTTTCTGCCACTTCCTAAGTAAACTCAATCAGTGAGAGCAACACAGAACCTTTATATTGACTTTCCCAGAAAGTCTAATACATTCCTACTGAATTATATACCTTGCGTGACCTTTTAAGTTAAACTAAAGGCACCTTTGTTTCTCATTTTTCCTTAAAAATACAGCAGAACCTAATGTATCACCTTTGGTGCTGTCTACATAATAAACTCTAAATTTGAGAAACTGCCTACTTTAAGTGCCTAAACTTTTTTGATTTAACCATTTCTAATTGAAGTCTTTCTTAATACAGAATGTTTCAGCTACTGTTTTGTATTTAATAGGTCCCCCTTCCCTACCATCTTAAAGCATCCTGAATACAATCTGAGCTCTTTGCTTTCAGCCCGAAGTATATTCACCAATAAAAAATAAATAAAAATTAAAAAATAAAGCTAACACATGTTTAGCTTACGCCATGCACCTGGCACTATTCCAAAATCTTCAGGCGTAGTCACTCAATCCTCAAAACAATCTTACAGATAGGAAACCTTTTTACTTTCATTTTATTGATAAGGAAACAAGCTTAAGTTGCCCACATTATCACTGCTAGGATCAAAACAAACAGACTGGCTCCTGAGCCACCAAAAACACAGATTACAAAAAACAAGGCGAAAACACAGTAACTCCATTTTCCATCTCGAGGTGTAGTAAGTTGAGACTGATTTAGCCTTTCCCAGCTGGGTTCAAGTTATTCCTAAGTAACTCTTTCCCTGAAGAGTTAAAGCACATCTTATGAGCAAAGATTTCCTCACTGGCTTCTCATTCTGAAGAAAACCTCTTCTTTGAGCTTGTCCTATTGCAATCTTGACAGCAGCTTCTTACTCCATCCCCACCCACCACTTGCGTACCTCCCAAAAGCCCAACCACTAGAGTTGCCCTTTTCTGCTAGAGACCAATCTATCCTGCCCTTTGCAGTGTATGCTCCACAACCCAGCCTCTTCTTAATGGCTTGGTCATCATTAGCAACACCAATTACCATCCTGTGTTGTGATGGTAACTAGGGTATTTACAATGGCATTTGCCCCTCCACTAAATGGCATCACCCAGACTGTTTCACTTTTTGAGTTATGGTTCTGCTTTTCATTCTGCTTCTCACTCACTTCCAAGATAAAAATTAACACTGCCTGTCTCAGAGAATGTATCTTCTTGGAGTCATCCTCTTAATAACTCCTGTCTCTTAGGTTTGTAGTTAATCTCCCACTGACTTGAACACCAGTTAAATGGGCTGTCAAGAAACTCTTTATAAGTAAGCAAATCAAAGTAGGTTTTTCTCTACTATCGGGAAAGCACATATGGATTCCATGACGTCTCTTGTGGCTCAAAACATTTCCTGCCTCCTAGAAGTCTTCTGGATAGTTGATTAGGGGTGGATAAGTAAGAAATACTTTCTGTGACAGGGAGGAAAAGGTAAGGTGGGTTGAAGCTGATCCTTTCAGCGTTTCACAGTTGTTTCATTTGCTAATGATATTATATGCTTGAGCTCAAGAATTAGGAATGGCTCCCCATTCATTCAACACAGACCACTGCCCCTGACCTCACACTGCTCAAAGACTTGAGGACAGCCTCAGTCTTCACAATCTGGCCCCATCCTACATGTCCAGCCTCACCTCCTTCTGCTGCCTCCCCCTATTCTGCTCTAATCACAGTGGCTGCCTCCAAGTTTGTCACCCACACCACATACCTGGCCGCCTCTGCATGTTCCATCTCTGCCTAGATTCCCTTCTGATCCCTAGACAAGAGGAGAACTACTCACTCCTCAAGGCCCAACTCTAGTGAAACCTTTTCAAAAAAGCAGTGGCCAGGGCTTCAAGCTAGGTTTAGCTTTCCTCAGGGGTCCAAGCACTCTTAATTCCAACCTCTATTACAGCATCGCCCACATTGTGTGACAGTTCTATACAACAGGCTTATTTCCATATAAACTGTCTTATTCATCTACCAGAAATTAGTAGGTACTGCAGAGATGTTTGCTTATACAGAGCTAATTAATCTGTAACATAAAAAAAACGGAGGAAAGGTGTGCCATGAAGGTTCCTAGGAAACATTCTACATTCCCAAAGTAGGACTTACTTTTTTGTATGTGTAAAATCTACAACTGAGAAACCCTGAATGAACAGCTTCAAGGTTCGTCCACTAGACTGTAAACTCTACAAAGACAAGGATTTTTACATGTTTTGTTCAGTTTATTCACACCCTGAGATTCATAGCAGGGGCTCAACAAGTATTTACGGAATGAATAAAGGAATGAACAAAGTGTTGAGTGAATATTACTGTAAAGTAAACTGGGTTACCACAGATTACAAATATCCTAACAAAGACCAGCTCTGTCTTTTGGCTAAAGTAGACTTAAAGAAATTTTCATTTTTCTTCTAAAGCAGGTCTTGCCTAGGGACTGGGCAATTTATTCACAGAGCACCAAGGAAAAATCTGAGCCCATTGCCAGCTGCTAAGAATCACAGATCATAAAACCTCAGAAGTAAATATATCATGGAAACGAACTTAATGTTTTATGCTTTCTTGTTGCCAAAAAAACTGGTGCACTTCAGAAGGAAGAATACTCACAGGAGGTAGTTTCCTGCCCCTGAAACCCGGTCACTTCAACATGGCAGCTGTTTAAAACTCCATGTTACCATCGGGTTTTCAAGACAGGAAGCAACAGTGGCACACCTAGCCGAGTACAGGGGAGAGCAAGAAGCAGAGAGGAAACAACATGCCGAATGAGAACACAGCTTGGAGGTTAGCCCACAGAGTACAAAAACAATGAACAAATTTCTCTAAGGTCTCCCATAATGTAATTTACCTGTCCATGGTAATTATGAAAAAAAAGAGAAAATGAATGGCATAGAAACGGATAGTACCTTCTCTGGTCACCAGCTGCTCCCCCTTTTTCCATCACTAGTTCTTCTTCCAATTTTAAGGACTCTTACAGAAAAGAAAATTGGTAAGATTTGATTGTCTTTAAATGGGAAAGGGAGTAAACCATGGATGACTTTTCTCCCTTACTTTCCTCAATTTCCTGAATTTTCTAGGAGTGTTCCCTCCTGTTATGCTAAGAAAACTATTCTTACGTTCAAAAAACCTGCAGAGCTGAAAAGTTTATGTTCTAATAAGAAAACTATATTAAGTCCTTTACCCAAAAAAAATTAATAACAAAGAAATCAGTAATACCAAACCATCCAATCTTTTCACTCAATAACCTTAACCTCTTTACTCCTCAACTACTGGTATATCTAACAATTTATTTAAAATATGTTTCCATAACAATTATAATTTGTGTGGCACGTCAGTTACCATGTGTTATTTACCTGATTTTCCCCCAACAACTTTCTGAAATGGTGAATACTCTGATTTCCATTCTACAGATGAGGAAAACTGGGAACTGAAGGAAAGCTATTTGCTATGACAGATCCCCATATCTTCTTGTTCCCCACCTGGCATTCCAAAACAGAATTTTTCAACCCCAGCGCTACTGACTTTTGAGCCAGGTTATTCTTTGTTGTATGGGGCTGCCCCATGCATCCTAGGATGTTTAGCAATATCCTTGGCCTCTACCCACTGGATGCCAGTAACACTGCCTCCTCCCATCCCACCCCACCCCCTAAGTTATAATAACCAAAAATGTCTCCAGAAACTGCAAATATCTCTTTGAGCACAAAATCATACCCAGTTGAGAAATACTGGTCTAAAAGAATCCAAGAGGTTCTTTTTGGCATCTCTATTCTATGACAAGGCTCCATATACCACTGAGCCACAAGAAATCACAAAGCATCAGATGTTGCTTGTTCAGGGACACTGAGTCAACCAATTCCCCATTCACTTGAAACAATTTTTCAAAATGTGGAAATGAACAAGAAAAATTTCCTTGTACAAATAGTCACATCTCAGTGGTTATATTTTCTAAAGGCATATTATCTCATTAGAATACAATAAGGAAATACATAAGGAAAATATTTAAAATATGTGTGTATGTAGGGGAAAAAAACACTTATCAGAGGAGTTAGAAAACACAGATCTCGGTCTTTTCTAATAGTTATAGATCAGGGTTCCTCCTATAAAAGTGAATATAAACCTACACATTCTCAATACTTGCTTCAGCTGGGTTTCTGTCCTAATATATGCATGACCTAAAGCTATTTAGAAGAAACTGAATGATAACTTTGAAACATCACTACAATTTGTGGCCTGCAGTTGAAACCACTAGTGTTTGTGAACCCAGAATCTAAACTGGCAGACCTAACAATCTTGACTTAAAAGCACTCAGTTTAAGTTTCTTCATGACATTTAATCCGAGTCTCTGTTCCTGCAAAAGCAACTCCACCCTCAAGATTCTTTATTTTTACAGCTTTTAAACAAATGCCTGAGTTGCAAAAATTCTGCAGCCTAATTCACCTTAATACCTTAATCTGTAAAGGGTGGATACCAAAAGACTAGAAAGATAATCAAAGTATAGCATTAACCAAACTGATACAAAACTGCTTAAATTATAGCAAATTGAAATGTAGTTATATAAATTATATTTTGGAAATGTTTGAATTATTTTTATCTATATATGTATAATTTATTTACCCTCTATCATTTCCCAACGGTTGTAATTAGTATATAGTGGAACTGGGAATCAGTGTGGAGTGTGTCATCTCACACTGCAATCCTCAGATTTAATTTATTAATTTATTAATTTAATAATTTTTGCAGCTATTTAGAGAAATTAAGATACAGTGAAAGAGCTTAGTTAATATGATATATTGAATTAAGAAGAGGTTGTGATTATTCCTATTCATAAATGTCCACAATCTCTCAGTATGATTACTTATGCCTTTAAACATGATCTGGACCTATATACATAGACATTTTTCTCCATAATACACAGTATGCTGTACCCCAAATGTCTAGTACCGTTATGGTCTCCATTAACCTTCACCACAAAGTACAAAAGAACACACTGATCCTTCAGTAAGGACTCCCTGGTCTTAAAAAATACCAGAGTCACCAAAAACAAAAGCGAGAAACAGCACAAAATGGGGTTTTGGAAAGGGAGGAAAAAACATTTAATCAATGTAAAATGCTAATCTTAAAAAAAAATTTTGCACTGTGTATATGCCCATGATTTGAATCCTTTTCTTAAAAATTTGCCAACAAAGACTCCATGATCACATCTAATTGTCTGCATTCTACTCGTCACTTAACTATATAAGGTTTTTAATGCGTTTCTCCTAAAAGCAATGACAATTATACACCGCTGTGAACTACTGCCATGAGAGAAAAACCTATGGCTCGTAAAAAGAAAAAAGGAAAAAAAAAAAAAGTTAATAGCATATATTCAACGGGGGCAGAAGACAGACCGCTCACAGCTACGTATTAGAAAAAGTGGCAGGGTCCTCTTCCCAACGGACACACAAGAATTCACAGAAAATACAGTTTTTTGAAAAAATGAGAACACCTGCAATAATCACACCTTTTATCTAGTCTCCCTAAAAAAGTTCCTTGGTAAAGAGACATCCAAGGAGCCCATATCCCTGGAACCTTGGGGTGTGACTTGAGAGGGGTGTTTACTAGCCCGGCTAAAGCGACGTCTTCCTCTGAAGCTTGGCGACCACTCGTGGAATGGGTGAGGAGTAAGACAGCAGGCCAGAGAGCAGCCCCAGTTTCAGTTAATCAGTCCCACTACAGTAGAATTCGCGTTTCCCCGGGGCTCTCTCTCACTGTTCCTCTTCCCTGGCCCTCTTCGCCCAGGACGCGTCCTCTTTAGCCCATCTCGCTGGCTGCCTAGGGCCAGGGTCCCAAAAGAACGTAAAAGGGGAGGGGGCGTTTCCTGATTCCACAGAAGACCCTCTCCTAGCCCCAAACATGGCCCCAAAGCCCAGAAACTTTCCCTGGCTGGGATGGCAAAGGAGGAAAACGACGACGACCCTCGGCCTCCGTACGGAGGCCAGAAAACCTCCTCCCGCCCCCGACTCCCCCCCGCCCCACGACAGTTCTGCCAGAGAGCTGGCGGTCAAGTTCTCGGTGCAAGGGCGAGGGACGTCAGACCTCAAGCCCGCGCCTGTATCGCTGGGTGGTATAAACAGGATGTCAGCGCGTTCCAGGCTTGTTTATGAAAACTTGGTGTGTGCTCTGGGGGAGGGGGCGGCGAGCCTTAACCTCCCCCCCCCTTCCCGGCCTGGGGCCCCCGCCCCCCAACCTCCGAGCCACCCGCCGGCTCAGCTCGGCTGGAAATCCCCCGCTCCCCGCCCGCACCCACACGCCCCCAGCCCTCCCAGGCCCCCAAGGCTCCGCGCTTGCCGAGTGGCCGGGGGTGCGTGGCTCGCCGAGGGCAGAGAGCGGCGGCCGCGTCGCCCGCCAGCGCCGGCTCTGCGCCCCTCGCCCGGCCGTCCGCAGCCGCCACAGGGTTCTCCACCTCCCCTCCGCGACACTCACCACTTCCGTGTGCGCCTAGGCTGGGGTGGGGGACTGCTCCGGGTCACGGCGCAGGTCCCACTGCCTACTCGCTCAGCAGCCAGCCCCGAAGGGCCCCGGCGTGCGCGCGCCAGTGGGCTGAGGAGGGGGCGCGGGAGCCGCCACCAGGGCTGCGGCGCAGGCCCGCGCTCTCTGCGGCTGCTAGCTACTCCGCCGCCGCCGCGGCCTGCGCTCCGCGACGTTCCCGCCCCGCCCCGCCGCTGCCTTCGCCCCGCCCCGCCGCTGCCTCCGCCCCGCCCCGCCGCTGCCTCCGCCCCGCCCCGCCGCTGCCTCCGCCCCGCCCCGCCGCTGCCTCCGCCCCGCCCCGCCTCCGCCTCCCAGGCCGATGCCGGCTCCGCCTCCTCGTAACGTCACGAGCGACAGCCCAGGAAAGAGTGGGCGGAGGCCGCAAGGTAGGCGTAGGCTCCGCTGCGCAGCTAGTCCCTGCACCTCCAGTATTCCCGCCCGGTCCCCATCTAGTTTCGCTCATGCCCCCATCCTTTATTCGCTGCTTAACCGCGCCTTCTGGAGACACCAGTCTAGGAACGAGAGTTGTGCCAAGGCAGACAGTAAAATTGTCAGGTTTTGGCTACAGGTTTATCCTTCCTAAGTTTGGGGTGCCCTCCACCACATGTTCCTGCACCGCGATGCCCTTATCACAGTCGTCTGCCCGTTGTCAGGATAGAGTAAGAGGTGAGCTGTGTGGCGCTTGACTACCAGCAACTTCAAAGCAAATAAATCTTATCTGAAAAAGACAAGTCACTGCAGATCCAACGCATTCCTTAAAGAGCTCTTTTAAATTAAAAAAAAAAACAACTTAGCTAACATTTGTTGATACCTAATGAATTAGGCGCTTTTCATTTTTTTTTTACTAATAATCTCTCATAGTAGATATTATCCTCATTTTATCCATGAGAAAACAAATTGAGTCTTACGTATCTTCAAGTCACACTGCAGCCAGGACTCCTATCCTTGTAGACAGTCTACAGCCAAATCCTGACAATTTTACTTCCAAGGTATCTCCAGTCCTTTTGTTTCTCTATTTCAACAACATGATTCAAGCTCCCCTCATCTCTCACCTGAAGGACCACAAGCACCTCTCAAATCCAGGCTCTGCATCACTCCAGTGTCTAATTAATTTTCCACGGTGAGCTTTTAAAAGTTCAAATCTGTTCTGCTCTTGAGCTTGAAACACTCCAGTGCCTTCCCCTTGAAAATCCTTCTGGGCATGGTCAGGCTTCTACAGCTCAGGTCACTGTGGACTGAGGCTGCACCACCCGCCCTGATTTTATTAATCCTACTGGAGGGCTTGCGGTAACTTGGGGTAGGTTACTGCTACTTAACCTGATACTAAGCAAGAAGCGCTGGTGTGGTACCTGGTGAGAAGAGAGCATTTGATTCTAGAGTTCTGGAATTTAGGTCTGGCTAGCACCATTAGCCACCTGAGATACCCTAAACAATTTACAGCTTACTCTTAAAAGTTGAAGGACAGTCTAAGAGATATCCAAAGAGAAAGCCTTCTGGAAGGATGTAGAAGAATTCAGAGAAGAAAGGAGAATCAAGCAGGGAGGGTCGTGGCCCAGTTGCCTCCACTCGTGGGTGTTTGCGTGCATGTGCTGCCTCACCTGCCACTCAGGGCTCTTCCATCATATTCTTCACCGTTAAATTGGGATATCTTCCTTTTGGGGACTATGCTGAAGGTAAACAAAGATAATGCAGGCCTGGCACACGTGGTGGGCTTGGTAAATGATCTTTATTGATCTGGGCCTTGAAGAACAAGTTGGGAGTGGATGAATGGAGACGGAAATATGAAAGAGCCACATTTCAGGAAAGGCAAAGAATAAAGATCAAGGAAAGCCAGGACAGCAGCAATGACCCCTATTGTACCCAAGAATGAATCTGACTGCTATATAAATGGAATAAGGACAGAGGGCCTTGGTTGAGTGTATTTCCCTATACTGGGGATTGCACTAAGAGCTGAAGATTCTGGGAAAAGAGATCCAGTTCCTGACCTCTGATGCTCAAATTGGAGTGGAATAACAGGTGAGTGTTCAGTGTGATTCATGCTCTGCTAAAACTGGTCATAGAGGAGAATTACCCAACCTACCCTTGGCAAATCAGGAAGAAAAGAAACTACAAGCAGCAGATAAATCACAGGAGCCCAGGCGGGGATCATGGCATATTTATTTACATAGTAACACACACATGAGGTATGGCTGAGGAAAAGATGAGAGTTATCCACAAACTTTATCTGAAAGACACCATGTGTTTGTGAGGTATTTAAGCAGGTTTTAATGTTACAAGAATGGTCCTAGAGCAGAGTTTCTCAGCCTCAGTACTATTGACATCTGGGGCCAGAAAATTCTTTGTTGTGGGATGCTTACTGTGTATTGCAGGAATTCTAGCAGCATCTCTCTCCTCTAACCACTAGATGCCAGTAGCAATCCCCATAGCTTCTCCTCCACGCCCCTCAGCCCCCCACCCACCTCCTGGCCCAGTTATGACAATCAAAAATGTCCTCAGGCATTGCCAAATGTTCCCTGGGGGACAGAAACCACCCCTGTTGAGAACCACTAATGTAAAAATAAGGTGGATGACGGATTGGAAGACAAGATTAATGTCCATAGCATTGTAGAGCTGCAGGCTACAAATGATAACATCAATATTTAAAGCAGTGGACTAGGGAGGGATAAACATGAAAGTATCCAAAGCCTGAAAAGGTAGAATCAACTGCATGGTAACTCATTTAGATGTGGGAGCTGAGGCAGAAGGAAGAGCCTCACGTGACCAAAATTGTTCAAATTAGTTGACAAGTCGACTAAGAACACCACCAACTAAATTGGATAAGGAATTCAATTTTATGTTTGAGGATAGAAAAAAATTGGAAAGTCACCCTAAAAGGAACATACGAGAGAGAGAGACAGTAGAAAACGAGAACTACCCATATTTCATTCTGATATGTAACGTATAGCGTAAAACCTGCAAGCCTTGGGGCGCCTGGGTGGCCCAGTGGGTTTAAAGCCTCTGCCTTCAGCTCAGGTCATGATCCCAGCATCCTGGGATGGAGCCGCATCCAGATCTCTGCTCTGCGGGGAGCCTACTTCCCCTCCTCTCTCTGCCTGTCTCTCTGCCTACTTGTGATCTCTGCCTGTCAAATAAATAAATAAAATCTTTAAAAAAAAACAAAAACCTGCAAGCCTACTACAACTATTCATCTAAATCGAACTAAACCAAATGCAATGAAGCAGAAAGCTCTTATCAGGGAAATTCTCAAAAAACAACCCTATCCAACCAGCAATCATACACATGGGTTTCCCACGTAAATCTTCATCAAAAAAGTGTTTGCTCACCAGTCTGCTTCTCTGGAAAAGATTAGATTACAATGGGGAAATAAATTCAAACAGTACGGTTTGCCTCAAAAAGTTGAACTGAACAAAACTAAAATACCCTGTACAGATCATGAAGTTCAATTACAAGGACTTGGAAACTAGAGAAGAGAGATAAATATCACTGTAATTTTGCAATCCTAATATATAGTTTATCATATTATATATTTTCTTCCAGTTTTTTTTTTTTTACCAGGTATATTTTTTTAATTTTATTTATTTATTTGACAGACAGAGATCACAAGTAGGCAGAGAGGCAGGCAGAAAGAGAGGGGGAAGCAGGCTCCCTGCCGGATGTGGGGCTCAATCCCAAAACCCCCAAGATCATGACCTGAGCCAAAGGTAGAGGCTTTAACCCACTGAGCCACCCAGGTGCCCCACTAGGTATATTTTTAATTTAAGTATAATCATGGTGTGCACGTAATTTTATAAGTTGTTCCTTAGATTTAATTTATGAGCATTTTCCATGGTACTACAAAAGTCTTTATAACTAATAAATTTCTTCATGCAAATAAATAATAATTAAATATATACTATTTAGACAATTTCTTAGGAGAGACTTACAGAAATGGAATTACTGAGTAAAATGCACTGCATATTTTTAGAGTCCTGATTCATAGATACATATTGGCAAGTCAGTTTCCAGAAATTTTCCAAAAATTTTTACTACCCTGAAAAATGCACACATTGTAGGGTTCTGCAACAATGAATATTATTATTATTATTTTTTTAAGAGTGAGTGAGAGAGAGAGAGAGAGAGAGCGCGAGAGCGGGGCAGAGGGAGAGGGAGCCTGTCTCAGGATTCACTCCCAAAACCTCAGGATCATGACCTGAGCCAAAGGCAGACACTTAACCAACTGTGCCACCCAGATGCCCCAAATGATATCATTTTAAAATGATTCACATATTTTGGGCACCTGACTGGCTCAGTTGGTAAAGCATGCAACTCTTGATCTTGGGGTTGTGAGTTAGAACCCCACATTGGGTGTAGAGGCTACTTAAAATAAAATTTAAAGGGGCGCCTGGAATTAAAGCATCTGCCTTCAGCTCAGGTCATGATCTCAGATACTGGGCAGCGAGGATCCTGCTTCTCCCTCTCCTCCTCCCTCATGCTCTCTCTCTCTCTCTCTCTCTCAAATAAATAAATAAATAAATAAATAAAATCTTTAATTAAAAAAAATTTTTCCAGGGCGCCTGGGTGGCTCAGTGGGTTAAGCCTCTGCCTTCGGCTCAGGTCATGATCTCAGGGTCCTGGGATGGAGCCCCGCATCGGGTTCTCTGCCCCGCGGGGAGCCTACTTCCTCCTCTATGCCTGCCTCTCTGACTACTTGTGATCTCTATCAAATACATAAATAAAATCTTTAAAAAAATTTTTTTTTCCATTTTCTTATAGTCAAGTATTTTGGCTGCTGTGGGTTTTTGTTTGTTTATTTGCATTGTGGTTTCCTCTGCAACTCTTCAGGAAGTCATCCTCTCTCCTTAGGTTAGACAAATGAATACAATGAATATTTGTTGAGTACCAAATTATGTGCCAGGCACTATTCTGCACTGTAAATACAGCAGTGAAACAAGACAGGGGAAGTTCCTAGTTGGAGAGGATAGCTGAAAACAAGAAAATGAGACAATAATTAGAATAATGTCCTATAGTGATATATGCTAAGGGGTGGGGAGGGGGGAAGATTTAAGAGAATAGGAAGGATGACACAAATGTTTGTTTTACATTACTCTGGGTTTTATACAGATCAATGCTTTAAATATCCGATATTTAAACCATCTGAATTTTCAATTGTTGTTCCAAGGT